GTAGCCAGATTTCACGACGACCCTATTCCTGCTTCGCCGTCACCTCTTTCTAATTTTTCTTTTTAATTAAACCAAAACGTGGGAATGTTAGCAATCTGTTAAACTCCACCTCCAGAGTCACCTGGAAACAGCTAGGTATGCTCTGCCCCAGAGTTACCTGGCAACAGGCAGGTAACCCTGCCCACTATAAAAGGGGCTGTTTGGCCCCTCCTCTCTCTCTTGCTCCTCAACCCTGAGCACCTGCAGGTTATCCTCGCCCCTCTCCCCTTCTCTTCCCCCTCTCTCCACGTGGTCATGGCCGGCCTCTACTCCTCTCTACTTCTCTCTCTCTCTCTCTCCTCTTGCTCTCCCACTCTCTTAATAATCCTCCCCTCGTGGAACCATCTTGGCCTGCTGTGATCTGTCCCAAGCTGCTCCGTGGAAATCCTTTCACATACTCTCCCATTTAACAAACCTGTGCTGCTTTTCTCAAGCACCTGAAACACATTAATTCCTTTGGAATGTAAACATGGAGAAGTTAGCACCTTTCTTCCCAGGACCCCTGGTAGACTAACTAACATTTAAGGACCCATTGAGGCCCCAGTCGCAGTACTAGTTAGTGCTAGGATTTCTGCAGAGATTTTCTCTGCTACAGAAGAACAGAGAATCTAGGACTCCTTCTCACTCTTAATCAAAACCACATGTTCTTTTTCTTCATCTGTTTGTTTCTTAAGTTTTTAAAATTAATTATTTATATATTTACATTATAATATATTGCATAACTTCCACCTTTGCTTTCCTCCCTTCCATATAACATCAAATTTATAGCCTCTGTTCAATAATTCTTCATATATATATATATATATATATATGCTTATATATTCAGAAATATATAAGTACAATCTGCTCAGACTATATGTTACTTCTGTGATTTCAGGGGGTCGACTAAGAAATCAGGTAGCAGACTGGTGTGATTGCTTTTGCCTGAGGGTAACTATTTTCCTGCACTCCCAGAATTCCTTTGTAGTCTGTAGTGCTTTTTGCAGGGTCAAGTTCTTATAGACTCTCCTGTGTCCATGTCAGCATTCCTATTGTTGTCCTTCTCAGCACAAGTTTTGGAACTCAGGTTGGTGACACGAGTATATATTCCTTTTGGTAGGAGTATCCATGAGCCATGGCACACATCTGGAGGTAAATATTTATGTATGTATATTCATACACATATATCATATTTCATGTGTTTGTGACATAACTTGAATTATAGACTTATCGACCAGCTTTACCTGCTGCAACATATAGCCAGTGTCATAATTTTGTTTCTTTCTTACACATTATCCTTTATTAATTACAGATATCTGATATTTCCATAGCATTTTTGTTAGCTATAAATATTTCAAATTTGTAAAACAATACATTGTTAAACTCAGTAAGAACTTTACTTTCCCCTAACCTATGAGAAGAAAATTTAAAAGAAAACTCTTCCTTCCTCTTCCACCTAATACTTTATTTAGTTTCCAGGTTACCACACTATTTCCCTAAGGTTTTCACATCATTTTTTTCCTTGTCTCAATTTCTAGACAACACATCACAGATACCTGTTATATTTTACCTTATCATGTCACCATTGACCGTTCCCTTTAACTCCATATTGAAGTCCAGGACATCAACACAATTTAAAATTTTAATGTAAAATTACACAACAATTCAAAATTTCACAGCTAAAATTTTCATCTCTTTACCTAATTTCTCTCATATATTTCTTCCATCAGGCAAAACACATTTCTTTTCTCTACATGCACTGGATGAACCCTTTGAACTTATTCATGAATCCTATCGCTTCCACCACCTACTTCAATATCTTCCTATTATAACATCTCTTCTCTCCTTTTGTATGCTGAGAAGCAGAGGATACAACTTGCTGTAGAGTTGTTCTTTGGAACATCAATACTTAAGTGCAGGTTCAGACAACAATAGAAAATATTTCCATAATTCTTTTTTAAACCCACTATTGATTTCAGAGCTCATTCCAACAGGGGAAAAAATGTTGGTATTAAGTGAACAAAGTACCATGGCTTGGACTGTGCTATCTCTATCTCTGAGATCTACTACAGATTCTATTAAGTACTGACCCAAACATGTGGACACCCCTCTGTTAACAGTTTCCTATCTACTCTACTCACTGTCAATGTCAGTCCTAGATCACTTACTCTTCCAGTCCCCTGGATAACAGTGGAGTTCAATAATCTTCATTCTCTTTCTACTTCAGGACTTTATTAAAATAGTCCCATCCTAATGGGACTTTCCATACATATATTATGCACATCCCTGATTTTATTTTTCAGTAGTTAATTGCCCTGCATTTTATTCCCAAATTCTTAGTGCTCTTGAAAATGTTGTATGACATACTTAATCTTTTTCTTGTTGTGCTGATAGGTTTATATTAGAAAGGAGTCTTGATTCAATATCCATAAAATATAAATATTTACTATCACTAGAATGAAGATTTGTAATTAAGAATATAATCATAGAAATTCATAATCCTGTATTAAGCTTTAAATATGAGATCAGTAAATATGTTTTTCTGCTGTGTATTTTTTGCTCTGGTCAAACATAAAAATTCCTTCCCTTGCCTATAGTTATTTATATGCGATTTTCTTTATCTAACTGGTATCTATCAATTAACTGACAGTTTCTAGGACAGAAATTTTAATTAACTAATTGTCTCTTAATAAATCTTGATATTGCTGCTCAGGAGTCAGTGATGTTTAGAATTCTGTATCCTGTTCTTCAATTAAAATATATCATATGCTACAATAATCCCATGTTTAGTCTGGCAACCACCTTACCCTCTGATCTGTTGCACACAATCATTGGATTCAGATTTTAATTGCTAGGATTACTCTAAAATATTTATAATTTAGAAATGTGACATGCCACAACATCCACATCTACTCTTCTATATGTATCACACATATTCAGTTGTGTGACCTCTTGAGAGATGAAACTCTGGAAGAGAAGGCTAGATAATGTGTCCCTGTTAGTCGTTCATATAGTGTGAATGAAAACATTGCTTCTGTGTGAAACTATCACATGTATTTATGTGTATTGAAATATGCATACTTATTGTATGGATCTTATATTCAATTATACAGGATATACTTATATATCCCATATAATTATATATCATATTATATAACAAATATATAACATACATTATATATCAAATATATATGTTTATAATGTATATTATATACATATATAATATTTTTTAATTGAATAGCTTCATCTTTATAAACCAGTTCCCCCTGGCATTCTTATATACTGATATATTTTAGTTTTCATTACATCATTATATTAGCATCACTAAATATCATGTTTTAAGTTAATAGAATGAAACATTTGTAACATGGAAATAAAAATTCTGTGGAAGGGTAACTTTCTATCAATCAGTTATTTCTGCTTTTGCTAAATTGCTTTGTTTATAACAAAGACTTAAGTTTTGATGATGTAATATATTGTTGCAGAGGTACAGGAATGTAATGTTCTTTAATCATTCAAACTTTAAAAAAATATATAATAAAATTTTATATATAGCATATGTACATATATAATACATGGTTTATAACCCAAATGATTTACTTTCTGTAATATATAATATGCATCCTTTGTTGGCCTTTATTATATATTATATTTAGATGATATAAAATATGAAATGCTCTGTTGCTCAGATTGTGGTGATCTATTGTGATCTCATCTTACCTCACCAGGTTCAGCATTTTCACAGACATAAGTCTCATAGAACTGAGAAAACTCAGGAGCGTTGTCGTTAATGTTAAAAACTTGTACATAAACATGAGCTGAAGAGACCTGTTGTACATTATCTGGAAATTAAAGATACAGAATGCAATTAATTACATTTTTATTAAAAGTCATGCAACAAATTCATTTAGAGGCTTGTTGTATATTAGTATTTGTACCTGAGGAAAATTAAAGACGGGGTCTGTGTGATCCACATATTTATTAGTAATAAAGGCCAGAAACACAATCTATGTTCAGTATCAGTCCCATTTAATTTGTGCTTTCTACATGCTATGGTATTAGCACATGATGATGGTAAAATGGGTAAATGATTGGTATATGGACACCTTACTAACGTTTATGAAGTGTTTGTAGGAGTCCAATGCTTTGCACTGGGAATAGGAATTAGTAATTTGCCAGTGTTTCTAATTTTCACATTTGCATTGCAAAAACACATATTTTCAAACTATCTGAGGTCCTAGCACCACTGAAATCTTTTATAAGGTCATAGCACATCATATTATGGAACACTAAAATTAAATTATAACTTACACATTGTAAATGAATAAACAGTACAGATTCAACATACAAAGACACAAATATTTAAAAATAAGCCTTTTAAAATATAAAATGAAAAACATTAAACAATGATCTTTAAAGATCCCTGTGTATTTCAAAATAAACTTTTATTTTGTTTTAATTATTTGAGGGAGAAAATAGTTGTAGATCAACTTATATAACATATTTCATCACCAAGTGTAGTTAAGGCAGGAATTCAAACGAGACCACGACATGGAGGCTGGAGTTGATACGCAGACAATGGAGGCGTGCTGGGTACTGCATTACTCTTCATTGGTTGTGAAGCCTGCTTTCTTGTGTCATTAAGAACCACCAACCCAGAGGTGGCAACACCTTCTGTTATCTGAGCTCTCCCACTTCAGAAATCCATTAAGAAAATGTTCCATAAACTTGTCCACAGGACAATCTGCTTGGACACTTTCTGAATTGAGTTCTCCTTTTCCTTAGTGACACTAGAATATATCAAGTTGAAACAACACTGGCCAGCACATGTGGTAAGCATTTATGACTAAGTACATGTGGTAAGCATTTATGACTAAGCACATGTGGTAGGCATTTATGACTGAGTTGACATAGCTTCAAACTTTAAAAAAAAATGTTTTTGTCCTTATTGTGTTCGGCAATATGAAACCCTTCCACCTAAAATTCTGGGGCTGGTGGTAATAGCCTATATATGTTTCAGTGTAGTTATGGAGGCAGTAATGAAAAGGATATTCAGGTAAAGGCAAAGATGAAAGGATAAAGCATTTTCAAGGATAGGAAAGGGGAAGTCAAGAAGGCTTAAGCCTGGAATATGCAGAGAAACTGTTACAAGCCTAAAAGGGAAGGCTGTTTGAACATCTCTGAGATATATGTTATAAGTCAGAGGGGACAACTGTGAGCAAAGAGCAAGGGTTGCATGGACAGGCAACCTTGGGATACTCAGGCCAACTGATGTGTTTATAAAAGATAAGGAGAAGAGGAATATGTTCTATGGAGGTGTGGTGAGGTGTGGGGAAGGGAGTGTCTCACCGGGCCCATGCCCAGGCATCCCTTCCTCCGGAGGGACCAGCCATACAACGGTATAGTATAGAATAGAGTTTATTAAAGGCATGAGGAAGGGAGTTAAGAGACTAGTAGAGGCAAAGAAAAGCAGAGAAAGTGGGTGAGATGCTGGCAATGAGCACATGGAAAGAAAAGAGGGAAGGGAATGGGGAGAGATTTGGGAAGGGAAGGGCGAAACGAGCAAGAGCAAGAGAGAAGCAAGAGACCAAGAGAGGAACAAGAGAGCTAAGAGGGTGCAAGTAGCCCCTTTAATAGTGGGTCAGACCTACCTGGCTTTGCCAGATAATTGTGGTGTGGAGTTTAGACAGAATGCTAACATCAACTTTGCCCATGATAAGGAGGCAGCCAGCCACACAACGGAGTCCTAGCCTGGGATTACTATGTCAGCATCCCAGAAATGAGACCTTAAATATGGCCCTCCCTTCTGTGTCACCTGTTGCATGTTTGAGAAGGGAAATTTTGTGCTGCTTTTATCATTAAAAATTACATAAAGGAATTCAGAAAATACAGATTAGTAAATCAGGTCATTTCATGATCTGATGATCTCTTCCTGCTGCCTTAGCTTCTTCACCACCTAGAACTGGATTATTGGATGATGCCTTGTGGAAAGGAGGAAGGATCTTAGCACACCAAAAAATAGCATTACCATCTTATGACTAGAGCATAATTTTTGGATATTGTTTAGTGTATATTGGTGCTTTCTGTGTTTCCATTTGAGGTTTTATGTGTACTCAATGTGTTACTCTGTAAAGTAAAAATACAGTATATATTTGTAATGTGATTTGCAAAAGTAAATATAAATGAATTCTGAAAGCCTGAATTTTCTTGTTAAGCATTCGACAAAATATTTATTTGTCTTAAATAACATGCCTGTTTATTTTTGGATTTCAAAATATAAGTATTTTCCTAACATTTCACACATAAACACACACATACATGCACACACACACACACACACACATACACACAAACACACGTGCACCATAGTGAAACAAATTAGTGTAACTTAAGTTGGAAATTACCAGAGCTATCGTATATATATTCATACGTGCTTTCCACCAATCATTAGTATTATACTACTATTTTGGCATTTATCTACATAGATCTCACAAGGCTACTAAACAGGATTCTTTTCTGAGATTTTGCCTTTCTTTTACATAAAAGTACATAAGAGTATAAGATCCTCATGCTTTTCACTTCCCATTTCTGAACACTTGCTCTTAGAGTCCTGCACTGCCACACTGAAACAGAGGATGGCTAAGCAGAAGCCTAGATCCAGACATATTACTTAAGTTTGGCAAGTGTGACTGACAACTATATATAGCAGAAGGAATCACTCAAAGTTTTATGGAGAGGGCGCTAATTCCCTTTTTATATCTACAAATTCCCTAATATATAGCATATATGATTTGTTTTAAGATGATTAAGATTTCTATATTTATTTTATATTCAAAGATATTAACGAAATCAATGCATTTTGACAGTGTTGACAGTTGTTGTCCTGTTTGTAGCTAGCTTCAGTCAAGTAACTGTGTAATGATCCAAAAATTAACCTGTCAGCCCCTCTGCCAAGGAACAATGTAACTTCCTAGAATGTTTACAATTGTAGTTCTAGGAAATAAAAAAACTTTCTGGAAAAGTATGGTGGCCTATAGACTTGTCCTTATAAACCCATGCAACATATGGTACAACAATTCCAGCTCAGGAATTCCAGAAAATTGTCCTGAGAAAAGCTTATCTCGTTTAGTATTTAAAATTTAAATTTGCTTTAAATTTGGCCCAAAATGGTAGGATTTTTTGGGGTGGTTTTTGTTGTTGTTTTTGTTATTTATTTACTTTTTTGGCAAATGACAGTATTAACAAATAACATCTTCCTACTGCAAAGACCCATGTTTCCTGGAGAACAGAAATTGCACTATAGTCTTTGGATTCTAAATGCTTTGCTTAATTATTGAGACAAAGAATTACATTGAACAAATGCTGAAAAGAAAAAAATACCTGACACATTTTCTGCTTTTTTTTATTTATTCGCTTACTACCTATTTTATTTCTTTATTTTTCATTAATTTTGGAAAAAATGTAATACCACAAGAGACTCTACTAAACCAAGAAAAAAAGAATAAAACTAAACCAAAAAGAAAAAAATAAATAAACATAATACCAGCAAAGGAAACCAGCCAACCTCTAACAAAAGTAAACACACAAACACACACACACACACACACACACACACACATACTAAAACTGTGTATTGCATGTTGGAATATATTGTTCAATTACTCTTGAACATGAGATCTCTCCTTGGAATTGTTGGTATACCTGGGTCATTCTCCTGGAGAAAATTGATTTTCCTTCACCTAACAGGTCAAGTGATAGATGTTCACCTTTACTCTAATGGTTAAGTTTTCATTCATTTGTTCATTCATTCATTGATTCATTCATTTTCTATGTTCTATGAAAGCAAATATAGAGATCCAGAGCTAGACATTATGCAAGAATAATGATAGACCTGAGCTCTAAGTGAAATGTCTCCATCAAATCTCTCCCCTCAAAACTCAGGGTTCCATTTGGAAGAGATTTAATGAATATAAGGTCTATGGGAGAATGGAGGACATTAAGAGTCCAAGAACCTCTAAATCAAAATGAAAAAAAGCTCAAATGAACTCACACAGAGTGTGGCATCGTACACAAACCTGAATGGCCCTGTACCAGGTTCTCTGTATACATATTATAACTTCCAGTACAGTTCTTATTCGATTTCTGAGTGTGAAAATGAGTAGGTGTATGATTCTTGTTTCATTTCTTGCTTGTTCAGTTTATCATCTCTTTGATTTTATCCAATTTTATTTGATATGTTTTCTTTTATCTTATAATTTACTTTATTATATTTAACAAAGCATACAATCATTTTAATAATTTTACTTCCTTTTCCCAACCAGTAGCAGATTTTACTCACATCCCTACCAACCCAAGTTTATGTTCTTTCTATACCTTTCAAAAATATAAAATCAATACCCAAACAAAACAAACCAAATGAATAGCACATATATGTCAAAAATTATTAAAATAAGCTTCCAAATACATATATAAAATGAAATTTGTTTTGTGTTGTGACAGGGTGGTTCTGATGCTAAGGTCCTGTTTCCAAATTGACTCCTGATCTATCAGTAAAGAAGTGATGGACCAATTATTGGGTGGAGAGAACTTCCTGGTTCCCACAAGTGAGAGACAGAAGCAGGAGAGAAGGAGGGAGAGTTTATGATGCTTCAGAGAGAGAAAAGCCGATTAGTCATCTAAGATCTCAGTTGGAGCAGCTCCAGGCTGCTTTTACAGGTGAGCAGTTGGGGATGATGAGCTGGGATTAAAGGTAACTGAGCAAGTAAAGCTGAGCGCAGGTGGAGAGGTGTGGAGCTAAGAGTCTTGTTAAGGGTATGTTTCTCCAGGTGGGAGATAATTAGTA